GAGGTGACAGGAATGAGGGTGGAAAAGCCCCTGACTAAAGACTAGGCAAACCTGGGGACTTGGGGGACTCCCCACCCCCACCCCGTAAACACCCTCCTCTCCTGCATAAAAACCAAAACCAAACCCACTGCTGTCGAGTCAATTCCAACCCATAGCAACCCTACAGGAGAGAGTGGAAGTGCCCCATGGGGTTTCCAAGGCTGTAAATCTTTACAGAAGTTGACTGCCACATCTTTCTCCCATGGAGCGGCTGGTGGAGTCAAACCACTGACCTTTCGGTGAGCAGCAGAGTACTTTAACCCCTGCACTACCACACTCCTTCCTCTCCACAGGGCCTGGTATTCGTTGATTGAGAGATGGCTCCCTCCTCCAGAACTTCTTTCTGCTTAAACGTTGGAGGGTTTTGTATATTCTCTTCATAAGAGATGCTCTTTCTTTACAGTAATAATAACTCTTATCATGCTTTCTACTTGCCAGGCACTGTTCTAAGTGCTTCACATATAATAAATCACTTAATCCTCTCACCATTCCTATGAGCTATGGTATGCTAATAACAATAATAGGTATGCTATCATTCCCATTTTACAGATGCAGGAACTGAGGCACAGAGGGCCCCGGGTCACGCAGGCAGCAAGTGGTGGAAGCAGTATGGCGCCACAGTCCATCCCGTAGCTCGTGGCTTAGCCGCCTGTCTTGAAGGGCGATCTGGTTCTTCCTCCTTCACCCTCATTGCCAATTAACACACCAACCTAAACCAAACCAAACCCATTGCCAACAAGTCAATTCTGACTCATAGTGACCCTATAGGACAGGGTATAACTGCCCCATAGGGTTTCCAAAGCTGTAAATCTTTGCAGAAGCAGACTACCACATCTTTCTCCTGTGGAGTGGCTGGTGGGTTCAAACCATCGACCTTCCAGTTAGCAGCCAAGCACTTTAACCACTGCACCACCAGGGCTCCTAACACACCTGTGCCCTGGATAAGTCACTGCCAATCTGAGTCTCCATATCCTTCTCTGGTACACGAGCTGTACCTTTTGCTGTGGAGTCGATACCGTCTCATAGCAACCCTATTTCCTTCTCTGGGAAGCAGAAAATTCTGTCAGCCTGGCGGCCTCCCAGAGCCGCTGTAAAGACCAAGCTGACAGTCCACATCTCTGCGCCGGCTTCGCTGGGAGGAAACGGTGGGCTGGTACTGCTTTCCAGGGTGCTGAACTTTCAGGTTGGCACTCTGCCTCTTGCCCTCTGGAGCCGGGTCAGGGTGGGGTGTCCTCTCTGAGTCCCGTCAGCAGACCCACAGCTGGGCCCACAGGCCCCTTGAGGCCTCCCTAGGGGAGCAGAGTTGGGGACACTAATAAGGATGCCTGGAGAGCTACATTGCCTTCTGTCTTAAAGCAAGCCCATGCAGAGAAATGCATCAACTGTGCCCACGATTTGCATCCGGGCCAAGGCCCTCAGAGCTCAAGTGCGTTCTTATGAGCTATTTATAGTCCTGGAGAAATTCAAGTTTTCTGAGTAATGGGGAAGCTGACAGGCTCCAGCTGGCCAGGGCCTGCTGCAGGAACTGGCAGGGGAGAGTGGGAACCGTGGGCCTTCTGATGAAGGGCCCCACCTCCCCAGGCCCTCCTCCCTGACCGGAGAAATGGGCTGGCACCGAGCCTCCCTTTGCCAAGGGCCACACCCTCGGGTCTCTCTGTGGCCTAAGTAGGGACGAGGCTGGCTGCCTGGTGAATGTCGAGAGGTGAGCTCTTTCTTCTACTCCAAGCCTGTGGTTTTACAGATCCTGGGACTGAGGCTCAGGGGGACGCTAACCCATCCCATGTGTCACTGGTCTCCTGGCCAAGCTCTCCTCTGTGGCAGGATCCCCACAGTAAGCCTAGGTGTCAGACCTGAGGAGCTGCTGGGGCACTGCAAACCAGCTGGCTCCCCCTAGAGGAGAGAGAGAGAGTTTAGCATCCAGCGAGCACATGCACCAGAGCAGATAGCCCAGCGTGGGCTCCTAAGTGGGGAAGGCTCATACTGAGGGACTCAGGGAGGGAAACCTGGCATTCAAGGCTCCCAACTCCCCCTTTACATATCTCCCTCACCCCTCCCTACACAAATTCCTCCCTTCAGCTGTCCCTAGAACATTCCCAGTTCTCATGCTTCCCCTCACCCTTGTCCACACCACCCTTCCCACCTGGGTTGCCTTGATGGGCCTCTTCTCTGATTAACTGAATGCTCCCCACCCCTCAAGACCTCTGAAGTCCTCATCTGGTGCCCCCTGCCCTGGTGACTTGCTTCACTCTGAGTCCTTACTGGAGCTAATTGCCATACCCAGGGAGGCCTGGTGTAGTGAACACTGTAGTGGGTCCCCCAGGTCCACCCTTCAGGACCAAGTCTCCCCTTCCCCCAACTGCAGGAAGGTCGGTGGCTCCCGGCTGAGCTCCTCTCCAGAAATTGCCTCAGACAGAGAGAGCTGACTCACCTAAGCCATGCCCACTTACCCAGAGCAGCAGGTATACAATGATTGGTTGTTGTTGTTAGGTGCCGTCGAGTCAGTTCCGACTCATAGTGACCCCATGTACAACAGAACAAAACACTGCCCGGTCCTGCGCCATCCTCACAATCATTGTTATGCTTGAGCCCACTGTTGCAGCCACTGTGTCAATCCATCTCTTTGAGGGTCTTCCTCTTTTTCACTGACCCTCTACTTTACCAAGAATGATGTCCTTCTCCAAGGGTCCCTCTTGATAACATGTCCAAAGTATGTGAGATGAAGTCCTGCCATCCTCACTTCTAAGGAGCATTCTGGTTGTAGTTCTTCCAAGACAGATTTGTTCGTTCTTCGGACAGGCTATGGTATATTCAATATTCTTCGCCAACACCATAATTCAAAGACATCAATTCTTCTCTGGTCTTCTTTATTCATTGTCCAGCTTTCACATGCATATGAGGTGATTGAAAACACCATGGCTTGGGTCAGGCTCACCTTAGTCCTCAAAGTGACTTCTTTGCTTTTAAACACTTTAAAGAGGTCTTTTGCAGCAGATTTGCCCAATGCAATGCGTCATTTGATTTCTTGACCGCTGCTTCCATGGGTGTTGATTGTGGATCCAAATAAAATGAAGTCCTTGACAACTTCCACCTTTTCTCTGTTTATCATGATGTTGCTTAATGGTCCAGTTTGTGAGGATTTTTGTTTTCTTTATGTTGAGCTGTGATGATTGGGGGCGGGGTAATAAAGGCCCTCTCCTCCCTTCCCCCCAAGTGGGAAAACTCTAAGGATCATCCCAGCTCCAGAGGTTCCTGGCAGATGAAGACTTTGTTGCAACTGTGTGTCCGTTCAGCGTCCCCCTCTGCCCTGTCCTGCTTCCCTTCCGCCTCACAGGAGTTCTTCTCAATAGCTCGCTAATCTCCATCTCAGAGAAGCTTTCCAGGGAAGCAGGTTTATGGCAGATGGTAACATACTGATTAAGCAGCCAGCGTGGGTTCAACTAGAAATGAATCGTGTTTAGCTCTGTGACCTTGGGTGAGTTACCTAACTTCTCTGTGCATCAGTTTTTCTTATCTATTACGTGAGAATAATGCTCAGGCAAGAGTTTCTATCTCCTGAGAATGTTGTGAATTCCGGAGGCCAACTCTTCAGACAAAGATCAGACTGGACTATGGGACATAAAATGATACTCGTGAAGAGTGTGCTTCTTAGCTTAAGTAGATACATGAGACTAAATAGGCAGCTCCTGTCCAGAGGTGAGATGAGAAGGCAGAGAGGGTCAGGAGCTGGTTGAATGGACACAGGAAATCTGGGGAGGAAAGGAGGAGTGTGCTGTCACAGTAAAGGGAGAGCAACTAGGGTCACAGCAATGTGTGTATAAATTTTTGTATGAGAGACTAACTTGAATTGTAAACTTTCACTTAAAGCACAATAAAATTTTTAAAAAAAGAGTGTTGTGAGGATTAAGCGTGTGGTGCCTGATACTGAGAAAGCACTCAATAAGCATTAGCTAGTACATATGACTTGGGCTCTGGTGGCTCAGTGGTTAAGAGCTCTGCTGCTAACCAAAAGGTCAGCAGTTCAAATCCACCAGCTGCTCCTTGGAAACCCTATAGGGCACTTATACTCTGTCCTGTAGTGTTGCTATGAGTCAGAATTGACTCAACAGCAACGGGTTTGGGTTTTTTTTTTTTTTTTTTTTTTTTTGGAGGGAGGGATTATTATTTACAATAAACTTCTCTGAGGTTCAGGTAAATTGGGGCTAGGATATTATGTGTCTCATGGAGTTGTTGGTGAGAATCAAATAAAAATAGGGAAGCAAAGAGTCCAGTTCTGTACTCCTGTGAACTAATGCAGACTGGAGGTCAGGTTCCCTCGGGGTTTTGCCCACCTGGAGCTGTGGTCTGAAGGCTTGGCTCACCTCCCTTGTCCACCTGGTGAGGGCCACTGTATTAGTCATCTGGCTTAACAAATGACCACAAACTTAGGGACTGAAAACAACCCAAATTTAGGATCTCATGGTTCTTTGGCTAGAAGTCTGACATGGCTCCCACCAGACTAAAACCAAGGTGCCTTCTGGAGGCTCAGGAGGAAAATCTTTTTCCTGCTCATTCAGGCTGTTGGCAGAATTCAGTTCCTTGTGGTTGTAGGCCTGAGGTCCCAATTTCTTGCTGGCTGTAAGGTAAGGGTTATCCCAGCTTCTAGAAGCTACTACACTTCTTGGCCTGTGGCCCCTTCCTCCATCATCAAAGTCAGCACCAGTGTATGGAGTCCTCATGGTGCATCTCTCTGACCTACCTTCTTCCATCCCTCACGCGATTAGATTTGGTCCCCGGATAATCCCAGATGATCTCCCCATCTCCAAGCCCTTAATCACGTCGGCAAGTCCCTCTTGCCATGTAAATAGCATAGTCACAGGTTCCAGAGATTAGAGCATGAACATCTCTGGCGATCATTATTCTACCCATCACAGCCAGTCACCATGGGACAAGCTCTGACTCCAAGTGCACCCTCTGCCTTCCAGGGAGAGGTCTGCGCAGTGCCCTGTCCAGCAGGGACCTACGGCTCCAACTGCTCATCCGTCTGTAGCTGTAGCAACGGTGGCACCTGCTCCCCAATAGATGGCTCCTGTGCCTGCAAGGAAGGTAATGTGCACTCTTTCCCAACCCCAGCCTCCATGTATGTGTGCACTGCCCGTGAGCTGCCAGCTGGGGGCGGTCTGGGCTGATCCTGCTCCACCATCCACTTGCAAGGCCAGGGAGCCTATACTAGTCAGGTTCTAGCCAAGGAAACAGAACCCATGCAGAACTTCAACAGTATGCACTTAATACAGGGGATTTGTTACAACGGTGTTAGAAGAGCTGAAGAAGCACTTGAGGAAGATGAGCCACCCACAGATTAGCAACTGTGGGAGAGGCTGCTGCTGCTGCTCCTGGGGTGGGAGGGACACAGGGAAGAGGAGGGGCCCCCAGAGCCTGGGAGTGAGGGCCACCCAGTGGGAGGGGGAGATGGGCAGAGGGGCTTCGTGGTTGCTGGAGCCTAGGAGGCACTGTCCCAGGTGGAGAGACGGGAGGAGCCACCTGGCTTCTCTCCTGCTCCCGCCCTCCAGTCTGCGGGCCAGGTCTCCCACTGGTAAACCCACCTGGGAGCCAGCTGACAGGGGATCCTGGGATATCCAGCCCCAGGGGTCTGTCCTGTGAGACACAGAAGAGAGCAAGGAAGGGGGAGATGGATCTGAGAGCACACAGGCCAAAGACCAGGCTCGGAAAGTGCAGTTGGCCGGCCTCGCCAACAGAGGAAGCTGAGTTAAGCTGCCTGCATCCGCCCTGGGCACAGTGCTCTCCACCACCGCAGCTGGTTCCCCCAGGTGGGATCATTGCCTAAGCAGAAACAGTGAGAATCAGGGGCAGGAGCCCTGGCTGCTAGCTCCAGCTCTTGCAGCGGCGTGCTGTGTTTCTGAGCCGACTCGGGGTGGAATACGGGTTCTAACCCAGCGATCAGAGAAGCGGCCGTTTGGGTGGGATTCCACGTACAGAGCCAGGGAAGTGGGCAGAAAGCTGCTCTGGCCCTGGACGGAGAGGTGACAGCCTCTTTCCCACTCCCCAGGGTGGCAGGGCCTCGACTGTGCCCTGCCGTGTCCCAGCGGGTCGTGGGGCCTGAACTGCAACAAGAGCTGCACCTGTGCCAACGGGGCAGCCTGCAGCCCTGCAGACGGCACGTGCTCCTGCCCCCCCGGCTGGCTGGGAGACACCTGCGGCCTGCCCTGCCCGGTGAGTGCCAAGGCCGGGGAGAGAAGCAGAGAGGGACCGAGCGGGCTGGCATCTCCTCGTGCCCTTTACCTGTGGTTCTTTTGTCCATGGGGGTGCGCAGAGAAGATTGCATGGTGGGACACTTGGATTCAGGCCTCAGCCTTCTCATTTCTAAAGTACTTGGTAGATGTGAGTGGCACCACTTTCCCCTCGCTGCTATGGTCAACGTTATTTATTGACCTTGGCACTCACCCGAGCTCAAACGTAGCTTCAGGATCCTTCTAAGCACAGTGCAACGGGGCAGCCCTTACGAATCCATCAGAGTTGGCGTTCTTTTACAAAAAACGTCTAAGCTTCCTTGCGGTGCCGGCAGTCTGTAATTTTACATTAGGGCTGTAGGGGGACTAAACCCCTGTCTAGCAACAACCACCCAGATCTAATCAGTGGGTCACGGTCTAAGATACAGATAAGGTAAGCCAGCTGATGCCATAACCTCGAATGGGCATGGGCTTTGGAGTCCTACGGTCCAGAGTGCAAGTCCAGTCTTTGCGACATCCTGTTCCCTTGGGCATGTTACTTCACCTCACACTCTGTCTTCTCCTCTTTAAAGCGGGAATGTAATGGAGCCACCTCATAGAGTTGTTGTGAGGATCAAGAGAAATGATGGATGTAAGGTTCCTGATACCTAATGGGCACGCCCCACATGCTGGTTGACACTTCTTCGCCAGTAAACGAAGAATAAATCCTAGCCGTGCTTCACACGGGAATGATGTATTACAGCTTGCAAAGTGCTTTCTCATTTGCAATTTAGCTGATGGTCATTATACAGCCTTCCAAGCTTGACCATCCAGAGGTAGAGCACGACTATCACCTCCCTCCCTCCAAACCTCATACTCCTGTTAATGCAGCCAAAGAATTCATAACTGTGTTGATCCCCAGTTACAAAAAGTGTGCCCACTCTGCCCCAGCCCTAGCTTCTCTGTGTCCCTGTCGGGGTTGTGGCTCAGTTTGGACATCCCGATCCAACAGAAGTGTGTGAACCTCTGGGGGTCCAGGGCTGATGGTTTCTCCGCTCCCCCTCCTCTCCACAGGATGGCACTTTTGGGCTGAACTGCAGTAAGCGCTGTGACTGCAGCCATGCTGACGGCTGTGATCCTGTCACAGGCCACTGCTGCTGCCTGGCCGGATGGACAGGTAACCACCTTGGCCCCACCACCACCCAAGTCCCTGTGAAACTGTGTTCTTGGGGTTCTCCTACCTCTCTGGACTGCTCAGTCTCTTCCTCCTTCACTAGCTTTTCTTCCTGCTCCCAAAACATGCGCCTTTCCCTTTATCCCCTCTGGGCCTCGTTTCCTCATTCCATTCAACTCTAGCAAACAAATATTTTATTGAACATTGTCTCACTTATCTGGTGCTGCTATAACAGAAATACCACAAGTGGATGACTTTAACAAACATAAATTTATTTTCTCACACTTTAGGAGGCTAGAAGTCCGAACTCAGGATGCCAGCTCTAGGGGAAGGCTTTCTCTGTCTGTCGGCTCTGGGGGAGGGTCCTTGTTCCTTGGTTCTTTGGTTATCTTCATGCGGTGTGGCGTCTGTCTTCCCCCATCTCTGCTTCCTTCATCTGCTCCTTGTATATCTCAAAAGAGATTGACTCAAGATACACCTTACGCTAATACCACCTCATTAACATAACAAAGAAAACCCATTCCCAAATGGTATTATAACCACAGATATAACCAAAAAAACCAAACTCACTGCCCTTGAGTCGATTCTGACCCATAGCAACCCTGTAGGACTGAGTAGAACTGCCCCATAGGGTTTCCAAGGCTATAAATCTTTACAGAAGCGGACTGCCACATCTTTCTCCCACGGAGTGACTGGTAGGTTCGAACTATGGACCTTTTGGTTAGCAGCTGAGCGCTTTCACCACTGTGTCACCAGGGCTCCTTAACCACAGGTATAGGGGTTAGGATTTACAACACGTATTTTGCGGGGGACACAATTCAATCCATAACAAACATCTATTATGTGCAGAATCTGTTCTGGAGCTGAGGACATACCTATGAAAAGTTGAAGGCTGGCAGGTGGTGGGTGTAGGTGCTTAATCTGTATTTGCAGAGGATACTGGGGGCCGGGCGAGGAACTTTCCACTTACCGCTGGCTTAGGATCCTGGTCCCTTACATCTGTCCTGTCCTGTCCACCTCCTAAATACATGGTAAATCTGACCACTGCTCTCACCCCCACTGCTGCCACCTCGGGGCACCGTCCTCTCTCATCTGGCATGGCCGGGCCTCCTAGTTGGTCTCTAGGCCCAGCTACGTCCATTCTGCACGTGGTGGCCAAAGTGAACTTTGCAAAACCCAGACCCGTTCACATCAGTCCCCACTCAGAATCCCTCAACGGGTTCCCATGGCCCTTATATAAAATCCAAAGTCCTTCCCATGGCCCAGGACTCTTCATGATCTGGCCCTGCCCAACTCCTCCGCCTCACCCAGAACCCCCTCTCTGTCGCTCACTCCACTCCAGCCACCCAGGCCAAAGTTCAGTTCTTCGGGGAGCCAACCACCTTCCGGACTCCCAGCCTCTGCATGTGCCACCCCCTTGGCCTGGATCACTCTTTCCCCTTCTCTTTGCCTGATCAATCCTTCTCATCCATCAGATTTCACCTGGAACGGTGCTCCTCTGAGAACTCTGTCCCCGTTACACTGCCCCTCCCTCAACCCGCCACCAAGACTACGTCAACAGCCCCCTTTTATTAATTTGCAAAACACCCTATACTTTTCCTTTTGTAGCACTTACCACAATTGTCATTGAACTCTGATTTGAGTAGCCACGCAGGCAGGGACCCCGTCTGCCTTGTTCACTGCCTGCCACACACCGAGACAGAGATGGCACAGTGGTTAAGAGGCCAGGAACAGGGCCAGATGACCTTGGGCAAGTCCTTTAACCTCTCAGGCTCAGTTCCCATCTGTAAAATCCAGGTAATTATAATCCTCACGACTACAGGGGCGTTTTGAAGTTTAAATGAGTTAATACCTCTAAAGTGCTAAGGGTACCTGGCACATAGGAAGTAAACACAAGCCACGAATACAAAAAAACAAAACCCGTTGCCTTTGAGTTGATTCCAACTAATAGCAACCCTAGAGGACAGAGTAGAATTGCCCCAGAGGGTTTCCGAGGCTGTAAGTCTTTATGGAAGCAGATCGCCACATCTTTCTCCCTCGGAACCACTGGTGGGAGAACCACTAACCTTTTGGTTAGCAGCTGAGAGATTTAACTGCTGTGGCACCAGGGCTCCTATGAGTACCAAAAACCAAACCAAATCCATTGCCGTCAAGTCAATTCTGACTCATAACGACCCTATAGGACAGAGTAGAACTGCTCCATTGGATTTCCAAGGCTGTAACTCCTTATGGAAGCAGACTGTCATATCTTTGTCCTGAGGAGTGTCTGGTGAGTTCAAACCACCAACCTTTTGGTTAGCAGCTGAGCGCTTAATCGCTGCGCCACGAGAGCTCCTTCCTATGAATACAGGAAGTGCTTAATAATTATATGTTGCATGAAGGAACCCGCTAGCCAGTCCCAAAGTGTCAGACAGCGAAGTGGGAGAGGGGAGAAGGGCATACAGCCATTTCTGACAGTGTAGGTTCTCAGATAAAGAATTCACCCAGGTCACTGCAGGCTCTGTTCTCCACAACCAGAACCTTCTGAGCAGCTGAGGGCCCGGAGCACTGCTTCCTCCATAGCATCTCTCACCCGTTTCCCCTGCATGGCTTCTGACCCTTAGGGTGAACGGGGCTCTCCACCCTACACCGGCACCCTGGACTCTTAGCTGGAGCCCAGTGGAAATCCACTTTAATGTTTTCTTGCCTTAATTTTAAGTGAGCAGGTAAGATTTTAATGATATCTGGTGCTTAAAAATTCTGTATTTGTTGGACAACCTTTCAGCAAGGCCTCTGCTGTTCTAAAGCTGATTTCCACAAATGTGGCCCTGATGTCATTTCAGAGAAGTGATTGGTATCCTGGGGTTTGTCATGCAGAAGAGGACTAAGGAGGGGCAGGGAGGGAGACAGGATACAGGACTGAGCCTCCCACCCCGTGACTTCTCCCCACTGGCCGACACCTTGGGCCCTAGCACACTGCTCCTGCCTTAGTTCGGCGTGGGTTTGGCTCTGCCCTAAGTCGTGAGTGTCTTATCCCCGCCCTCCATGGGCCACGGGCTTCATGTCTTACTCATCTTGACCTGCATAAGGCAGGTGCTCATTAAATGCTTATTGAAATAAATTGCAAGAAGTTGGCATATAACCACGTACAGTTTTTCCCCTTGAGGTGGAGGAGATCTTTAAGATTATCTACTCTAACTTCTTCATGCTACGGAGGAGGGAAATATTCCCTTGAGGTCTCAGACATTAATGTCAACAGGGTGGGAGAGACAGGATTGCATTTTAAGGGGGAGCCATTTATTCATCGAACTAGGATTTCCTGACTCAAGCAATCACCAAGTTTTTATTTGGCAGCTACCATGTACTTGCCAAGGAGCCTGAGTGGCACAGTGGTTAAGCCCTCGGCTGCTAATCGAAAGGGCAGTTGTTCAAACCCACTAGCCGCTCCATGGGAGAAAGATGTGGCAGTTTGCTTCCATAAAGATTTACAGCCTTGCAAACCCTACGGGGCAGTTTTACTCTGTCCTATAGGGTCGCTATGAGTCAGAATTGACTCAACGGTGACAGATATACTTGGCTCAGCAGTGAATGGCAAAAATTCAACAGCAACAGTCTGGAGTACCTACTGTGCGCCAAACACTGTGCTGGCCACTGGAGATGGAAAGGTGACCAAGATGGCATCCCTGGCCTCGAGCAACACCTGGAAAAGCAGGGTCAGAAGTGTCAGTGAGCCATGTCCGCATCTTCAAATTGTTGGTGGGGGTGAGGGGACTTGTATGCAGGAGACAGGTAGGGGAAGGGCTGTACGCCACTGACTGTCAAACAGATTCTTGAATCCCTGGGCAGACATCCAGGAAGGCTTCCTGGAGAAGGAGGGCCCTAAAAGAACCTGAAGGAGGTGCTGAGTTCCTGCCGGCCCTGTGCCCAGCAACAGCACAGAAGCCAGGGCCTGGGGATTCTGTTAAGCTTCTTAGAGGGGAGGATTGGGGCTGCCCCAGCTGGAGGGCTTCTGGAGGCTGGGGGCTGGACAGCCCAGCTTTGGGGGCCCCTTGCACCGTACCATGAAGTACCTGGGTCACGCAGACAGTTGAGTGCTTGGCTACTAACCGAAAGGTTGGCAGTTTGAACCCACCCAGAGGCACCTCAGAAGAAAGTCCTGGCGATGTGCTTCTGAAAGTTCACAGCCCTAAAAGCCCCATGCAGTGCAGTTCTGCTCTGCACGCACGGGGTCGCCGTGAGTCACGATCGACGTGACGGCACCTGGTTTTTGCACCATACCAGTCCTTCCTTCTAGACGTTGGCAGCTGTCCAAGCAAGACTGGCCCTTTGTCTTCTCCAAACAGACAGGCCCAGGCTCACCATCATGATCAGAGAGGTATGGGGCTTGGATGCTCTTTGGACAGGAAGGGTGCAGGCTGGCTTCCAGCGCATTCTGACTCTGTAAGTCGTGTGGTTTTGAACAACTTCATTGGCTCCAAAGCACAGGACATACCAGCATCAGTAAATTAATAGATCAAACAGGTAGAAGTACCATGAAATCATACTGTCTAATTAACTTTAAAGTGGCCTTCACAGAAAACCTTCCTGTCAGAGCGCATACATCCCCCGACCCGACCCTGTTTCTTTCTCCCCCGCCACCTCCTCTTGTCTGCTTCCCCTTTTCCTTCCCTCCTTTGCTTTCTTCCTTCGCTCTTCTTTCCCTCTTCACACTCCCGCTTCCAGCTGGAGCTCAGGGCTGGTGCAAAAGGCAAGAACTTGGTCACAGTGTATGGATCCTTAGCTTTATCTGCCAGTATAGACGTGAGGGGGGATTTTTTAGGGGCATGAAGGGGAGGGACCTCAAGGGGGGGTTATTATCCCCATTCAACTATGCCTGGGAAAGGCATCTGATAAAACTATGCCCCCTCTTTAGGAGCTGTAGTTGGGGAGCCTCCCCCCAGGGCCAGGTTGGCCCCTCCAACACCCCAGCCTGTCTGCTTTAAACCTGGGGCACTCCAGTCTAGCACACACCCCACACAGGGGAAACCCTTGACCCCTGTCCCCACTTGGGTCCCAATGTCTTAAGTTCCAGGGAGCAATTAGGGCATGAAAGAGCCTCAGACAGGAGCCCTCTCCCCCACAACCAGGCCAGAGTAGGAAACTGCCAAACCCTGGGGCCCAGCGAAGCCTTGCAGCCACATGTCGTCTGAGCAGAAAGCCTTATACCCACGGTTCTCACTCTCCACGGAGTCCCCCTTTCTGACATGAAAAGATTGTGAGGATCCCATTCATGACAGTTGCTGTACTTATGGACTCAGACATAAGACAGCCTGAATAAGTAGAAGCCCCAGCGCATTTTGGCTCGCCACACCAGGGTCCCTGGGGAGCTGGGGGTCTGGAGAGCACGGGCCCCTCACGGCCATGAAGATGTTGCAGCCAACGGGAGGGAGGTCTGAGCACTGGCAGCTCTCTGTGCCTCTTCAACGTCCATTGACTGGGGAAGACACCGCAGCAACACACAGCCGTGAGTCAGTGATGCTTTTCCGGATGTTTTATTCATCACATCTAGTTGTTAAAGGAGCAGTGTGTTGGTGGGATCCGTGGGACTGGGTCAGCCTACACCCAGTGCCTGATGCACAGGTGGGACTGGAGGCCCCTTCTCAGACAGCGAAGGTCCGCCTTTGATCACCGTACCTCCCTGGGGTTCTCAACAACTACAGGGAAAAGAATTCCTCGGGGCAGGCAGATCAGGAAAACTGGAGCGTGTATCAGAACTGAGAACAGCTGCGTGATCGGCCCTTCCCCAGGGCCCCTTCTAGGCTGCTTGTCCAGGCCTCACTGCTTGTGAGCCTGAAACTCTGCTGGCAGAGATCTCTTTCCGGGGGACAATGTGGCTGCCAGGTTCTCATGGGAAAGGATCCCATGCCCTGGGGGGACGCCCCTTTCCCTCCACGCAGACGCCTCATTTCCCAGAGAATGGCGTCTGAAGCCCCCACCCTGCTGCAAAGTTGAGATGTCACGGGGAAGCGGGCACTTCGGTCCTGTGTGGCGTTGGCAGGCGGGGTTGGCAAGACTGGAGGGGGGAGGGATAAGCCTGCTGCACCCCCTCCCTCTCCGCCTCTCTCCAGCTGCTCCGCCCTCCTTCCTCTTCCCCGCTGGCCCAGGTGGGCTTGTACAGTTCTAGCCTGCCTCTAAATTGGTCCCTCTGCTTCCCTCCCGCGGGTGGGGCTGTTCACTGGTTCTGAGGGTCTTCCCTCCCCTTTCTTTCCCTTTCTCACAATCCCTGTCCTTCTAACAAGGCCGACATGATTTCTAAACTAATGCTGTGCCCCTCTGAGCCTCTGATATTCTCCTTCCAAAGCTAAGCCGGTCTCCTGAGCCCACACATTCCAATTCACCTTATGCATATCAGACCGGAAGCCTTTCTTCCTGGAAGGAAACCCCACCTCAGGCCTCTTTAATCCCTTCTTAGCCTTTGGGTTGTACTCACCCCAATGCACATTTCCTCTACCTCAGCTCTAAAAGACTTGGTTTTTTTTTTTTTGCTCTTCTTTCTTATTGAGAGATTCTACGCATTCCCCCATAGGCTTCTGTTTGTCAAACTGAGGGTCATTAAATCAATTTGTCGGGTCACGACTAGTTTTTTTTTTTTTTTTTTAAATGAAATAGAATACATCACGGTGCATGGGAAACACCAGAGTGCATCACACAGTGATGTAAATGTCATTTTGCAAAGCATTGGTTTCTGTTATACATACGTGTGCGCATGTGATATAAAGTACACATCGCAATGAGGGCCGTGGTAAGACAATCTGAAATGTGCTGAGAGACCCCATCCACTCTCTGGGTCCCGGAAAATTGCCTTCCCTGCCCCCAGACTGATCAGCTGGGACCCAGCGCGGACCTGTGGCTCCTTGGCTAACAAGGGTGGGCCTAGCTCACTCCCGGCCTGCGCAGCCCCCCCCCCCCCGAGGGCACAGACTTGCCCCATAGTTGGCCTCTCCCAGCTCAGATGTCAGACGAAGGAAGCCCTTCATGATTTGGTCCCTTCTTATCCCCACAATCTCGCCTCTTGCCAAACCTACTTGCACTATGGTTCAACCACACTGAACTATTCAAAACTTCTTTAAAGGCATGATTCTCTCTCCTGCCTCCTGCATCCTACCTCCTGCCCTTTGCGCATAGGGTTTCCTTTGCCTGGTCAATTCCTCCTTGTCCCTTGGTACTCAGTTTGGACATCAGCTCTTCCTGGAAGCCCTCCCTGACCTGCCAAGCCATGGCTGGGTTTCTCCTCCACATTCCCAGATGCCCTATGCTTGCCTCCGCCTCGTCATGCTGCATTGCACCTCCCTCCTTCCCATCAGCCTTCCCTCCTCCCTTGCCTCTCTGCCCACTGACCTGAGTCTGCCTCTGGCCCCCAGGCATCCGCTGCGACAGCACATGTCCACCTGGTCGCTGGGGCCCCAACTGCTCTGTCTCCTGCAGCTGCGAGAACGGGGGCTCCTGCTCCCCAGAGAATGGGAGCTGCGAGTGTACCCCTGGCTTCCGGGGACCTTTATGCCAGAGAAGTAAGGCTGCCCCCCCCCACCCAGACCTCTGATGGTTCATGCTCCCCACCCCTTCCCAGCTGGAACTAGTCCTGTTCATGAGCATACCCGAGAGAGGCTGGGCTCTTGGGGTCAGCCCCCCAGTTCTTCCCTCACTCTACTCCCCTCTCTCCCCCTCCCTGGCATCCTGTCCCCAAGTTCAGGCCCATGCCAGCTCCCCAGTGAAAAGAGAACCAGACCATAGCTCCTCTCTGCAGAAAGGATGGCCCTCCAAGGTGTGGGGAGAGTGTGTCTCTCCCACACTTTTGAGGAGCCTCCCTTCATCCCTACGTGGGCCCCGAGGGGTGGCCAGCCTGGCTGGGGCCCCTTGGGCCACTGACCACATCTCCCCTTCACCCCCAGTCTGCCCCCCTGGGTTCTATGGCCACAGCTGTGCCCAGCCCTGCCCCCTCTGCGTGCACAGCAGCGGGCCCTGTCACCACATCAGCGGCGTCTGTGAGTGCCTCCCTGGATTCTCAGGAGCCCTCTGCAACCAAGGTATGGCTCTGGAGAGAGCTCGAGGAGGGAGGCGAGCGCCCCTGGGAAGGAAGGGGGAGGCCTTGGGGTTCCTGTCACACTGTGGAGGGGCTTTTCGGCCCATTAGGTCTTGGGTCTACCCTTCTGAGGAGTGGGCATCACGGGGGGTGGGACAAAGACACAGTCTCAGAGACGTTAAATGACTTGTCTGTGGTCTCACAGCTAGCAAGTGGCAGAGCCGAGAAACAAATTCTGGCTCCGAAGCCCATGCTAAATGGATGAAAAATGAGATGCGCATGGGACAGACCCACACAGGAAGTGGCGCCAAGTGGTTTGGGCCAAGTGGTGAAGACAGAAAACACTGTGGGTGTTTGGAGGAGAAAGTCCTGGTTTGGGGTGGAGGTGGCAGCTTCCCGGTCCCGCTGCCTCAATCTCAGGCAGACGTCACTAATCCCTCCCAGTGCCCTCTCCTGTCCCACCTCAGAGTCTTCTCAGCACCAACTCCAGGCACTGCCACCACTCAATGGAGTGGAAAAGAGACATCAAACTTATTTGCACTGGGTGTGCCGCTACACCAGCGTTTTGTGTGGGGGGTGGGGGGCCCTAATTTGTAGCATTTGCAGATTTCCACGATATGAATATTGCCATCCTGGCTGATTCCAAGTTGCCAGTGGTTTAACCATTGGCAGAATTCCTGAATATGTAACAGTCAGCCAGTCGGTGGGAGCTGGCTGTGGCACGCCCCTGCTTATTTGGCCATCTGTGGCTTGCTTAGGCCAAGGCAATGTGAATTTGGGAGAAAGCTCTATGGACTGTGCAGGACCTCAGCCAGGCTGTCATCTGAAAGGCGGAGAAGGAAGAAAGGCATTTGGGGTAGAGGAAACAGTCTAGGCAAAGCACAGAGGCATGGACATGCTATTGTCCAGCAGTGGGGAATGGCTGAAGGATGTGGTGGCTGGGGCTGGGAAAGGGGCTGAGAAGGTAGGCTGGGGCCTTCAGAACAGCTTCGAACACAAAGTGCAGAATTTGCATTCTATCCTGGAAGTAGCAAAAAGCTCTGGGATCTTAGAATAAGGTAAATTAAGAGCTCAGAGCAGAGTCCCTGGGTGGTACAAATGGTTAACAGGCTCGGCTGCTAACCTAAAGTTGGGCGGTTTAAGTCCATCCAGAGGCACCTCAGAAGAAAAGCCTGGCAATCTGTTTCCAAAAATCAGCCCTTAAAAACCCTATGGAGCACATTCTACTCTGACACGCACGGGGTTGCCATGAGTCAGAGTCCACTCTACGGCAACTGGTAGATATAAACCAAACCTGTTGCTGTCAAGTTGATTCCGACTCATAGCAACCCTGCGGGACCGAGTAGAACCGCCCCACAGGCTTTCCAAGGAGTGGATGGTGGATTCGAACTGCTGACCTTTGGAATAGCAGCCGAGCTCTTAACCACTACGCCACCAGGGCTCCACTGGTATATACAGACGAAGCTAAAATCAACTTCAGGGTCATCTATACAAGAATCTCATCTGGCCTCTGCTTAAATACTTCCACTGACTGAGAGCTCACTACCTCCCAAGGGAACCCATTCTTTTGATGAGTAATCACCCCTGGGCGGGGCTATTCCTCTCCGCGTGTGGGCTGTTAATATGTATGAGCAGAAAGTTCCCTCCATGATGCTTTGAGGTCATGAGAAGTTTGGGCCCCAGGGAGATGTATGTGACAGTTTCATTTGCTTGCAGTCCTCCTAGGACAGTTGAATCATAAGCTGACACGTTGAGGTTTACTTATGAAACATCGGAGACCCAGCCGTCAATACAGATAGGCCGGCTCTAAATTAGGGCCTCAGCAGCCCGAGGAGTAACTCTCGGATCGGGTGGTGTCTGATTTATCGCCCGCTGGCCTAATGAGTGTTTTGCACATATAGATCTAATAGAGTTTGCTATTAATGGCAACTGCCCTGGTTAAGTCTCAAACCTTGTAAAAAATTGAACTGACACTTTCTAATGACTGGCTTTGCAGCGAGTTACAAATTACAGACACTGCTTATGCAGAATCATTAAACATGGATTAAATATAACCAGATGTTTTCTTTTCACCAACCCCCCCGCTTCTCTCCACCGCCCCTTTTTGCCACACTCCCGATGCAGCTAAGAAGTCGACCAGTTACTGTGTTAGAGTGATGGCGTTAGCAGCTCTGTGGGTGAATGTGCTGGCCTCCTGTGGGGGAGGAAGACTTCAAAGATGAGACTGTCTTGTTCGAGAAGCTCAGAGTTGGCTTTGGGATTGGGGGGTGGGGGTAAGTAGAGCAGACCTGGCTCCCCACAGAGGGCCAGGACAGGGGGATGGGTCCCTGAACCAAGCACCCAGAGGCAGGGGAGGGGAGGCCAGGCCACCTGCTTTTCAGGGCTGACGCAGTTGGAGCCCAGGCTTGAAGCAGGTGAGGCCTGTGTCATCCTCCTGGCGGTGGACCTGCCTGAGGAGGAGCTAGAAGTGTTTGCCAGGGGGAGCTCAGGGCCTCTAATCAGCCAGCCTGCCCATAGCTATTACCTGTGCTCCCAGGCCAGTGGGTGGGGTTATCATTCCATTTCAAAGTTGAGGAAACAGAGACTGACAGGGGTGGTGTGGTTTGCTCAAAGGCACTCAGCCAGTAAGTGGCAGTAAGTGGCAGAACTTCCTAGCTACGTGACCTTGGGCAAATTACATAACCTCTCAGTGCCTCAGTTTCTCATCTGTAGAGTCAATAAAACCAAAAGACCAAACCAAACTCGTTGCTGTCAAGTTGATTCCAACTCATAGCAACCCTATAGAAGAGAGTAGAACTGCCCCATAGGTTTCCAAGGAGCAGCTGGTGGATCTGAACTGCCAACCTTTTAGTTAGCAGCCAAGCTCTTAAGCACTACGCCACCAGGGCTCCATAAAGTTAATAACAGGGAGTAATAATGAGTTAACAACAGGGAGTAATCACGAGAGTATATAGTAATGAGAGGATTACAAGGTTAAGTGAACTAATATTTGTGAAGCATTTTGAACAGTGCTTGGTGCATATAAGTATCATGCAAGTGTTCGTTGAATACAGAAATAAAACTAGGACCCAGACCGAAGGCTTCGGAGTGCAGAGCCTGGTACACCACGCTCTTTCTTATTTGGCCCAACCACTAACCACGTGCAGGAGTCTAAGAGCGCCCACACTCTGCTTGGAGGGGGTTGAAGACGTGAGGCAGTGTGGAGTAAAGGGCAGGGCACCAGCCCAAGGCTTGAGAGACCTGGGCAATGCAATTCTTTTCAGGAATCAACACCTTCCCATGATCCTCCACATGGTTCTGCCACCTGAGGGCCTCAGAGATTCAAGGTCTCCTCGATAACAGGGATGCAAGGAGGCCTCTCTCGGACATGCAGGGCCGGCTAGAACCGGGCTTTGAGGGGAGTATGTTGTACTAAGAGAAGCTTGAAGGGATGGGGGTCATTTTGGAAGGTCACTGCTCCCAGGGCCTATTTTGGCCACTTTGGAACATTTCCTGAGTGTGTGCTGTATGTCAGGCACTGTGCTGGGCACTCAGACACATGGCTTTGACCTCTGATGAAAGATGGCTGCTTGAGCTCCAGCCATCTTATCCACATGTCAGCCAACAACAAAGATAAAAGGGCAAACAAGGACACACATTTCCACTTACCATTGACCAGAATGTAGACATGGCCATACCTAGCTGCGCAGGACCCCAGGACATGAAGTCTTTATCCCAGGTGGCCATAAGTCCAGCTAAAACTCGAGATTCTATGTCTAAGGAACAGGAGGATTAACACTGAGGGACAGCTAGGAGTCTACTACAGAAGGATCTTGGGGGAGGTGGCTTTTAAGAAGAGTCTTGTAGGCTGGGTAGGATTTCCACAGCTGCATGAGGGTGAGCGTGAGGGGAATTCTGGAAGGGACCAGCTGGAGCAGTGCCAGAGCGGAGGAAAGCCCAGGGTGCATCTGGAAAGTGGTGAGTGGTCCGGTGCTCGTGGGTCTGGGAGAGAGGGGTAGCGGAGGATGACCCAGGCCAGGAAGGTTAAGCGCTGCCCTCTAGGATGCAGACTTTATTCTGGGACTGTGGGGAGCCCCAAGGTGGTTTGAGCAGGGCATGGGAGTGCCAGGAGGAGAGCTGTGCTTTAGAAGCTCAAACTGTAGGAAGCAGGTGGAGGATGAATTGCAGGGCGAAGTGAGAGGTAGGTGCTCTGTTAACACTCACACCTAGTCCTAAAGGAAGGCCTCTGGTGGTGCAATGGTCAAGCACTTGGCTGCTAACCAAAAGGTTGGTGGTTCGAACCCACTAGCCGCTGTGAGGGAGAAAAGACCTGGTGATCTGCTCCAGCAAAGATTATAGCCTAGGAAGCCCTATGGGGGCAGTTCTACTCTGTCCTGTAAGGTCACCATGAGTCAGAATCAACTCGACGGCACCCAACAACAACAATCGTAAAGGAGCTAAGTACTTGGTGAAAACTCAAACCTAGTCCTAAGGAGCTCAAAGCTTGGTTGAGAAAACCAGTCCTTCCTTCAGGGACCTCCAGGAGGGGCTGTGACCAGAATCCTACAAGTGACCCAGGGAGCCCAGTGGAGGAGAGGACCTTGTGACCCAGGAGACCCTTCCTGAGGAGCAGGCTGAGCTGAGGAACAGGGAGGATTTGGAGACACAGAGGAAAGAGCTGGACAGGGGCAGACTTGGGTGCTGGTCCTCCAGCAGCCTAACTGCAGACGCGCCAGGCTGCATTCGGCCCTCTCCTTCCAGCTGTCAACTCTCCACCCTGTGGCTGTGGAGTCAGTGATGCTAGCAAAGGTGTGGGGACAGAAAACAGAGAGCCTGCAGGGCAGTGCAGGAGGCACTGGACTGAGAATCCAGACATGCGATTCCCAGCCTCACCATTTCCTGTCTGTCAGACCTAAGTCAAGTGATCCCGCCTCTCTGGGCCTCGGTTTGTTCCTCTGTCAAAGGGGATCATAATAGAGCCTCCTGCAAAGTGTGGGCACGAGAGGAACAATTGATAAGGGTGATGGGGGTGCTGAGGTGGGCAGTCCCCACCAAGATCCATGGCTCCCAGGGTGGTCATGGCTGTGGCCTTGGCACTTCTGGGGGTGCAGCAGTGGGTGGGGGCTGGGGGAGCACAGGTGGGAGGGCAGGTGCCAGGCTGCCCTATGCCCACAGTGTGTGCTGGAGGGCACTTTGGGCAAGACTGTGCCCAGCTCTGCTCCTGTGCCAACAACGGGACCTGCAGCCCCATTGACGGCTCCTGCCAGTGCTTCCCTGGATGGATTGGGAAGGACTGCTCACAGGGTAAGCTGCTGCCCACTGGAAATGCCCCCTTCCTTGCCCAGAACCTTTGCCCCTGGCGCCTCCAATTCCCAGGACGAAATCCTTGGCAGAGTGGAATGTCTACCTGAGTCCCATTTAGCTCTTTGGCTAATATTATTAGTTGTTAGGATTGATCATGAGCATATTAACTGCTGGTATTAAAGGTAGTGACATTGTTGATTGTATCATTAATGTTATTAATACTGAGAATTAATACTGCAGTAGCACTGAGCAAGGAGCAATCCCTGAGTATGGATGGGGAGGGGCAAGGGACTGGCATGCGGGAGTTTGGAGTAGGGAGTGAGTGAGGTCAGGTCAGTCACCTGAGGAGGAGGAAGGGTGCCCTCTGGATGGCCCATGTGAATGATGTCCTGGGCATCATAAGCCTGGATGGGACGTTGTAGGGGATGTTCCGGTAATGTGCCCCCAATCTGATGGGGGAGGTAACAGCCCCTTCCAGAGGGTCCCCAATCTGAGGAGGGAGACAGTCTCTGCCCTGTGTGGAGCTCCTGTCTGATGGGTGAGACCCAGCAGTACCCCTAGGGAGGTCCCAGTCAGATGGCCTGGCCTGAGGAATCTCCATTCTGATGGGTGGACACAGGATCCTCCTCGGTCTGATGGGGAGACGCGAGCGCCATCCTCAGGGAGCTCACGAAAGTCCCCGCCCTCACGGGAAGTCAGCACGCACAGTATACATACCATCGACCACAGTGTTCACACGGTTTACCACACACACCCACACATTCCAAGTCCCAGAGTCAGTCACCCAGGAAGTGAAGCTCCAGAGTCCTCAGAGCAGTGCAGCTGGTCACCAGAGACGTGGGGGGCAGGCAGAGTCTCGGCGCAGTTTGAATCCTGGGTGGCCTGGGAAAGAGGTGACTGGAGAAATTCTGGGAACAATGTGCCAAGCCCCTGAAAGTCAGGAAATGCCAGCCGGCTGCGTCCTGACATCCTGGGTCTGACACGCACTCCCCCTCCTTCCCCCTTGCCGTCTGCCCCCTCTGCCCTCACCCTCGGTCTCCCCACTTCTAGCCTGCCCACCCGGATTCTGGGGCCCCGCCTGCTTCCACACATGCAGCTGCCACAACGGGGCGAGCTGCGGCGCCGAGGACGGGGCCTGCCACTGCACCCCGGGCTGGACTGGACTCTTCTGCACCCAGCGTAAGCCCCGCCTCCCGGCCGCCCCGCCGCTCGGAATCCCGTGCTGCCGCCTGCTGGCCGCTGTGGGCATCGCCCCGCCTGCAGCCGAGGGAGGGAAGGGGAGCCCCCCACGCCCCGGACTGGGAGCTCTGCAGGGCAGCCCCAGGGCCTGGCTGGGTTCAGGGAGCCGACGGACTCTAAGCCCTGGAAGGTCAGGGCCTTAGGGTACCCCACCATCACCGAGTGCGCACCCCCCTTGGACAGTGGGGCCGAGTGGGGAGGAGCAGCCTGTGGACGCACAGCGAGAGGACCTCAGCCTGGCCTCTGCTCTAAGGCCCTTTGCCTGAAGGATCTCCCCCGCCCCCGACTCCTTCAGCACGAGGAGGGTCGGATCGAGGAGACGGCTCCAGTGCCGGGTCTCACTAGTCCTCTTCATCCAGCGCTGAGGAGGGACGACAAAGACAGTTCTAGTCCCAGCTGCCCCTCCGCGGTTGCCCCCACCATGCAGCCACCCGTGACCGGGGGTCCTGTTTTCCCAGGCTGCCCAGCGGCGTTTTACGGGAAGGACTGTGGGCGCGTGTGCCAGTGTCAGAATGGCGCCAGCTGTGACCACATCAGCGGCAAGTGTACCTGCCGCACGGGCTTCACCGGCCGCCATTGCGAGCAGAGTAAGCGGCCCCGCCCCCTGCCCTTGGGTGTGGAGCTGGGCCTCAGCCCCCTGCAGGGGAAAGAGGCTGAAGAATGCCTACGTTGGTGTTTGAAAAGGGCTTCTTTCTTCCTCCAGTTGGGGTGGGGGTGGGGAGTGTGGATCCAGGGCAGAGCAGAGACCTGGGGGCCAGTAGGGAATGGGGGGAGACAGGACCTTATTTGAAGCTTCTATGAAGTTCCTATGGCACCCAGCTCGGGAACTGGCATGTGGATGCCGTCTACAGGATGTGTGGAGTGAGGAGGAAGCAGTAGGGGGTGGACCCTGGCCCTTCCCCTCTGCAGGCGCTGGGGGCTGCAGGCGCTCTGTCCACCCATTCGCTGAACCACAGCACAGCAGGGGCTACAGGACGATAGGCTTCCCTGGGAAGAGCTAGCTAATCATTCTGGTTCTTCACATGTGGAACAGGACAGGGGGTGAGCTCCCGTCACTGTGCATGGTAGACAGTGAGGGTGGCCCACTGTCCACCTTAACTCTTGATGCTACACAGGGTGTGCGCCAGGAACCTTTGGCTACGGGTGTCAGCAACTATGTGAGTGCATGAACAATGCCACCTGTGACCACGTCACTGGCACCTGTTACTGCAGCCCTGGATTCAAAGGCATCAGATGTGACCAAGGTAATGCACAGGTGGCAGAGTCCCCAGGCAAGGGGCTAGGGAGAGGCTGGCTTTAGGAAGGAAGGGACCCCATGAAAGCTCTCGAGAGGATTCCAATTTGGAACAACTGGATTGCATAAGGACACCGTGATTCCCCTTTATTCACATTTGGGAGGAGAGGGGAGTTGAGTGGGCTGCAGAGGGGCAGGCAGAGGCTCCAAACCTGGAGGGGAAAACAGAGCAGGCAGCCGTTTAGGTAATGGCTTCCCCACGCTCATCACTGGCAAGTATCCTGTGAGCCAAGCAAGGGTATCCGCCAGACCAAGTGGGAATATCTGCCAGGTTCTGGTTCTGCTACTACCTGCTAGGTGTCCTTGGGCAGGTCATTTCCCTTTGCTGGGCCTGTCACTCCACATGCAAAATGGGAAAAGTAGATTCATCCTTGTCTTTCACAAGTGACAAGGGTCCTCTGAGGGCCAGCCGTAGCTGCTGCTCTCTGGTCAGACACTTCGTCGTGCAGTGCGAGGATGGTATGAGTGAAGGATGCAGCACAGCGCCTCGCACTCGTGGACATTAAGAGCCCTCTGAAGGTGCTGCAAACATGTACGGGATTGTATTGTTGTTGGTCCTGAAGAGCTGAGGATGAGAGTGGGCTCTCAACTGTCCTCATTACAGAAAAGGAGCCAAAGGACATTTCCATTGCGCTCTGAGGACGTGTCAGTGACGCTGGAGGCTCTCTTCACCCTGAGCAGCAAAGCTGACAGCCACGCAGAGGCCTAGCTGATGGGCTGCTGCACCTGCGCGGGGGGATTCGCTCACACGCACAGAGCCAAGAGGGGTCTGGTGGCATCATCTGGCTACCCAGGCACGGCACTCACGCTTTCAGTGTCTTTCCTGCTAGTCTGTCGTTGGGCCCATGGGATTATCGTCCCTGTGTTCCAGAGTCACACAGCTGGTAAACAGGAAGAGGGGCTGAGCCCAAGTCTTCCTAACGGCTGAGAAACGTGACCCTGCCAATGACTGGGTGTGTGATCTTGGGCAAATCACCTAACCTTTCAGTGACTCTGTTTCCTCATCTGTGACAGGGAAGCAATGAAGCAGTCCCTGTTTCATAGGGTGCTGGGAAGATTAAATGAGACAGTACCTGTACCTTATTTTTAGAATAGAGCAAAACACTCAGTAAACATTATTTTGTTTCACATTTGTGCCTTGCTGCAACCCTGGGACTCCCTCCCCCTAGGCAGTTGAGGACTCCCAGGCACAGTAAGGATCAGGGTCACACAGGGACTGAAAAATAGGGCCAAGGCCAGAACCCAGGTCTCCTAAAGCTAGAGAAGTCTGGGCTCCGGGCTGAGGGGGTCTGAAGAGCAAGCGAGCCCGGCCCAGGCTCAGGCCCTCCCTCCGCCCGCAGCTGCCCTCATGATGGAGGAGCTGAATCCCTACACCAAGATCAGCCCAGCGCTGGGTGCAGAGCGGCACTCAGTGGGTGCTGTCACGGGCATCGTCCTCCTGTTGTTCCTCCTTGTGGTGCTGCTGGGCCTGTTCGCCTGGCGCCGGCGGCGGCAGAAAGAGAAGGGCCGTGAGCTGGCTCCCCGTGTGTCTTACACACCCGCCATGAGGATGACCAGCACTGACTACTCCCTCTCAGGTAAGGGATCTTCACCCAGCACCCTCTCCCCACCCCTCAGCCCAGGAGGGGCCACACAGTATCCTTGGGCACACCTTGGTTTACTGATGACAGTAGGTGGTAGCACCTGCAGGGTGGGCTGCTGGGGCTAGGTGCTCAACTCCCCCAGAGAGACAATGGGGGTGGCCAGCAGAGGCCTGCTTGGGAGAGATAGACAGGATCCATGACAGTGTGATTTCCTGGGCCCCAGCTCTGAGCCACTGTGGTTGGGAGCCTCCTTCCATTTGCCCAGAGCTTCCGCATCCTGCCCACCAGGCTTGGGCCACAGGGGCACCTTCATTAAGCAGTCACTTTCCTAAACTGCTCCAGGGAACCCCTTCCCAGCCTGATGCCTGTGCCACCTCAGGAAGCAAGGCCTTAGGACCCTATGTCCAGGCCCTGTTCCATTTTTGTTTTCCTGCTGAAGGCCTCAGGGCAACCCTCCCCTCCCCAATCCCAGACACAAACCATTCTCTGAGTTAGAAGGGGGTGGTACTGACTTGGGGGGAGGCTTGAAAGTTTGGGCAGTGTCCCTCTGGCCAGGCCCATCAGCACCCCATCTGTCCATAAATGTGGTCACAACTCCAACGGGCATTCTATCTGGTGGTCTGAGCGGAGTCAGGGTGGCGCTACCAGGCTGGACACTTTCTCTCCCCTGAAACTGTACTGCCGCCTCGGAGACAAGAAAAGCTTTTTGCTTCCTATTTAGCTTAACAAATGCTCTGAAACCACCCCGCAGCGCTGCTCCCTTTCAGGCCACTGCCAGCAGAGACACATCACAGAAGGCTGGGCCTGGCTGGGCCTGGCTGGGCCTGGCTGGGCGAGCACAAGGATGACAGTCTCTCCAGCTGGCTCATGGCTGACTTGCAGCCAGCTCATGGCTGACTTGCAGCCTCCTGCACCTTGTGCTCAGAAAGCCCAGATCAGCTTGACCCATTCCTCCTAAGTGTCGCCTGTCATGTGCCCAGTTCTATGAGAGGCACTGCAGGATCCTCAGCAGCGGTCCAGGTGCAGACCCCGCCTTCAAAGAGCTCCTGGCCTACATGCCCCCTGGGGTTTCAGCCAAAGCAGACATCCTCTGATGAAATCCTAAACCTACAGAAATTTGGGGATTTTCTTCTATGACTGTGCAATGAGCAAGGTCAAGGCAGCTGGGTTTTCCCGTGCCATTCCTCTGGAATTTCCTGGCCTTTTGGAGAGATCCTGGAATCCTTGGGAGGGCTGGAGGGAAGGGCTGGGGTCTGTGTCCCAGGGCTAAGCGGACTGGGGGTTCTCTTTACGGACTCACTGCTGGGATCTGACCCTGGGGCGGTAGGCAGGGAAGCAGGGGAGGGTCAGTCTAGCCCTAAGGAGAGACTAGGACATCTGAGGTTATCGAAGCCAGCACTCCTTGTCCACACTCCAGCTGCAGGTACCACCCTCCACACTGGCAGACCTACCCTGAATTCTGCATGCTGCAAGAGGACGGCATGAAGGAAGGAACCAATTAGATTTCTGTGGGGTAGTGGGTACCAGGGGGTTGGGCTTGGGGGAGGGCTAGCTGTCTCCCTTTGCAGGGCACTCTCAAGGCTGCCCAGCCCAAGCGCTAGCACTGGGGGTATCTCATGCCAGGGGCAGGGGTATGATGGTATGTGGCACCTTGTTCTCTTCCCAGATTTGTCTCAAAGTAGCAGCCATGCTCAGTGCTTTCCCAATTCCAGCTACCATGCACTGGCGTGCGGGGGGCCTGCCACCAGCCAGGCCAGCACTCTGGACAGGAACAGCCCCACCAAGGTACCGGCCCCCTTACTCCTGAGCCCTCATCACTGTACCCCCATTCAGCCCCTTCCCTCCCCACCCAGGAAGGAACTGCACCTCCAACATGGAGGGTCCCCATGGAACCAACTGCCAACACATTAAACACAGCCCTGAGATCCATAGTACATGGAAACATTCTGTGAGGCATGTAACAGGAAGCGAGTGTATGACATGGAGCCAGCATGCGCCATGTAACTGGTGGGCATCACATGTTATCAACCTAGAGCACCACTCAATATAACATACACCCCCCCATACCCCGTGCATAACCACCTGGTGACCAAGTCATGTAATCATCATGTCACTTTCTTGTCACACATAACTGTGTACACCATATAGCCATTTTCGCCACGTATTGCTAACACATCACGTGATCAAAGTACAACGCCACCTCTCACCAATCACTGCAGTACATTACCAACGTAATGTGTGCAACAGCCACGTTAGAAGAGTAACCACTGTTACTCAGATAACTAACCAATGTCCCCTGTCTCTGAACATAGCACATGTCATTAATACATCACCCATAACCATTTGTTGTGATCTGAACCAACACCAGGGGCACGGAACCCATATATCAGCTGTAGCAGTATCCTCATTGACAGGGAGTCCTGCAGGTCCCCAGGCAGGTGGGTGCCACCCTGGATAGGATCTTCCCTGACAGCTCCCAGCACAATCCTGGCTGATGACAAGACATGCTCTTAGTCACAGGCCTTGGGCAAGGCTGTCTCAGCAACATGCAGATAATGTGTAGGGAGCCCCTATGATGTGCCAGGACCCATGCTGGGCACAGTGGGAGATTCAGAAAGGAGTAAGAACAGCCTCAAGCACCACAGGTTCCCACAGGCTTGTACTGCACACCCATCTGTGCACATGTAAACACACAAACATACATACACACCTGAAGGACAATTCCAGGGTCTCCAGCTTCCTGTAACACGGGCCAAGAGCACAGCCTTCATATTCCAGGCCTCTGCTCTAGCACTCTGGGGATCCTCTCCTCCCTGTCTGTCATCCCACTGAGAATGGCCACCAGCCCACAGACCATGCCTTCTGCCACACGCATGGTGGCACTGCAGCACGAACCCCACTGCAACAGCGTAGACTCTGCACAGCCCCAAGGGCAACCCCTGTCAGGGTGATTCCTTCAGGGCTGTCAGCCTCCCTATCAAGCAGGGAGTGTTTCGTGCCAGGGGCCATGAGACCCATCTGCCATCTCCGGCCATCAGCCCCATCCTCAGCCCCATAGCTCTGGCCACTCTTCCCGTGTAGCTCCTCGTTCCCAGCTTCAACTTCAGGCTTGTCTGAGGAGCTGGAAGCAGAGGGAGGGGGTCTGCAGTTCCCCAGTAGGGGGCCCTTGATGAACTAGAGTCACATTATCAGAACTGCAGCAGGAAGAGGCGACAGTGCCAGACACGACAGGCAAAGGCCCCTTGTGGTCACGTCGCTCTCAGTCTCATCCTAACAGGGAAGCACCCGCCACCTCTTTCAGTCGGGGCCTGAGTGACTGCAGTGTAGCACCACTGGGGACCTCTGACTCACCTCACCTCACAGGCCCAGGCTGCTGTGCCCAAGGACCCCTCCGTCTGGCACATAGGGCATTTGTAGCAAAGGTAGCAGCTATGATGACACAAAGGACACAGGTCTGGGAGTTGAGGTCTGAGTTCTAGGCCCAGCTCTGCCACTGACTCCTTGTGTGACCGTGAGCAAGGCCCAGAAGCCAGGACTCAGTCCCCACTGTGAAGTGAGGATGACCACCCTTGCCTCAGATGAAGGGCAGCTGTGAGGATCCAGGGAGAGGAGGGATGGCACCATCAGCCTCAAGACACCCTGCCCTGAAGATTCTCCTGGGTCACACGAAAAGCAGACTTTCACACTCTGCACAGGTCGCGTGGCGGAGGTGACCGCGGCGCTGCAGGCAGCCTCAGCGTCTGTGCTGGAGATGCACCATGCTGCAGCTGAGGCACTGCCAGAGTCCCCACTCCTGCAGCTCAGCCCCGCCCAGCTCACACTTCCCATAAGGGCCAGCTTGGTTTAGGGCCGTTATTGGTCTTGGGAGGCCCTTCCCCTCTTTACCCCAAGAGGTCTTCCAGACAGCTTGGATTGGGGTAATCTGTTCCCACTGGCCTCAGACACTCCATGGTGGCCTGTCATGAAACACCTGGCTTTCTCTTTCCCTCAATGGTCTAGGACCTAGGTGAGTCAGGATCATCACAGGGGAGGGGGATCTAGGACCTAGGTGGGTCAGGATCATCACAGGGGAGGGGGCTCTAGGACCTAGGTGGGTCAGGATCATCACAGGGGAGGGGGGTCTAGGACCTAGGTGGGTCAGGATCATCAC